AAACTGTCTAATGTCAGATGGTGGACTTTCACGGATTAGTAAGAGTTAAAGGAATCTGCATGGTGTTTGAGCTGTATAGTTTTACAAAATGAATGCATTTCACATTATACTCTATAGGGCCAAAGCGATGAGAGTAAAAGATGAAATGCTGCATGGAATAAAACTGTCATTCCCATCGTGACTCATCTGTTAACTTATGAAAACACACTTATAACAAGAAATGCAAGAAAATTGCTCACTTCACGTGCTTATGGGTGGATCGAACCTAATTTTGTAGCATTAAAACCAATTTGCTGCTGAGAAAACATGTCACAGAGGATTGCATGAACCCTTATAATTATTAATAATATTTGATATTTCCATGTCACCTTTCATCCTGAGATCAGTCCCCTACACGTGGGAGCAGATAAACTCCAAGGAAACCGAGATAAATATTAATACAATAAGTCACAATCCTTCGCTATCTTCCATATCCCCAGGGCTTTCTGGTTGTGTGTTTCTCTCACCTTTAGAAGTTAGTAGAGATAGTGGTAAAGCTGTAGCTCTTTCTTCTTCTTTTTTTTTAAATGAGTTCTTACTACAAGAAATTTTAGGCTTGCTATGGGCCACATCTTCCTGTTCACACTTCTCCTCGGAAGAACAGCTCTTGACATATTCATATTCCTACTCCTTGGTTTTTTGTTTGCTGATCTCATCCTGAGTGGAGGACCCCCACTGGCAGTGGGCTGTATCTTCGTGGATTCTTTGACTTCCTCATGAGAGTAACAAAGCATCATCATTATTATCAGCGTCATTGCCATTATCATCCTCCTCCTCCTGCCAGCAACTCCCACTACTGTTGCTGATTATAAAACATTCACTCGAAGCTACTTCATTCTTCTAAGAATTGTATATGCACCTCATATTAACTAATTTCACACAAGTCATAGAGGGTAGAGCTTTCTACTAGAACTTGGGTAGAAATGTGGTGTATCTGTGCTGTCCAATAGTGTAGCCACTTGCCACATGTGGCCACTAAGCACTTGAAATGTGGTTCCCTCTACTGACTGAGGGATTGCATTTTTCTTTCATTTAACTTTAATTTCATTGACCTAGCCACGTGGTTAGTGACTGTTGTATTGGACAACATAATGACAGCATCAGGGGTTTATTATTACCTTTTAAAAACAAAGCTCTGTTTTCATCATCAGTAAGAATTTAAGAAGGACTAGTTAGGCAGGAGGCAGTGGGTCATGCTTGTAATCCTAGCATGTTAGGAGGCCAGGGAGGGAGGACTGCTTGAGCCCGGGAGTTGAGACCAGATTGAGCAACACAGTGAGACCCTCCCACTGCAACAGAAGTAAAAAATTAGCCAGGTGGAGTGGCATGCATCTGTAGTCCTAACTACTCTGGAGACTGAGACAAGAGAATCACTTGAGCCCAAGAGTTAGATGCTGTAGTGGACTATGGTCATACCACTGTACTCCAGCCTGTCTCTAAATAAACAAACAAAAGAACCTAATAAGAACCACTGTGAGTGGATGGTTCTGAAATATTCTTGCAGCTGCAAGTACAGATGCTTCTTGCTTACAGTTGGGTTACATCCTGATATATTCATTGTAAATGGAAAATATTCTAAGTCAAAAATACATTTAATACACCTAACCTACTGAACACTGTAGCTTAGCCTAATCTACCTTAAAGTGCTCAGAACACTTATATTAGTTTATAGTTGGGCTAAAATCATCTAACACAGAGTTTATGTTATTACATAATAAAGTGCTGAATATCTCAGGGGAAAGTGAAAAACAGAGTGGTTGTATATGCACTTGAATGGTATATGCAGTTTCTACAGAATGTATAGAGCTTTTGCGCCATAATAAAGTCTAAAAATCTTAAGTTGAAACATAAGTCTGAGGCCATTTGCACTTTGAAAAGAAGTCCTATGGTCTACATTTGGAGGGCTTCTGGTTTACCTTTCCCCTACCCTGTTCAAATTTGATTTTAAAAGATTTCTGTGGGGACATAGGGTAACATGGAGCCGCTTCTAAAAATAGAAAACAAAAGGCGTGGATGATGCCTTAAACCTCATTGTTGTCCAACTATCCCAAGTGGTCAGCATTGAATAAGAACCAGGCCGTCCATTGAAAATTCAAATTCTAATGACTGATTTTTCCAAAGGAAGATATTCTTCTCCACTCATAAAATGGAACATTGAAAGACGGTTTTATGTTTTGGTGTCCAGGGAGGAGCAGTCTTTAAACAAACTGTTAATTCATATTCAGTCCTTCTCTCCCTAAAGTCACCTCCCCAGGATTTCTCTACTTTGTGTGTGAAAATAAAATAAACTTCTTTAAGTCAAAGCAACTGACTGGATGACTTAATTACACTTCTACTTAATCCACGCTGTAACTTAGACTGCTACCACTGCTACAGAAAGAGAACTTAAGTAGCCCTTGGTTTGAACCATCTGTCGCAAAAATGTGACATATGTTTGCTTTGTTTACTCACCCACCAAATGTAAACTGATACACTGAACTAAAAATCCATGTGTAGTGTGACTCTGTGTGTGTAGGGGGAGGGGTGTCTGATGAGGGCGTCAGTTTCCTCACACCTGCCCCTGAGGAACACGTGCACAGCAAACCAGGAACGTGGATTGGCGGGATGTACTCAGCGTCTGGGGCCACCATGGAGGCGCAGACACTCCGTGGCGACCGGAAACAGTGCGCGGCGCGTCCACAAGCAGCCGCGGCAGCTGAGAGCGCGCCTGGCTGCTGTGTAGTTGAAAAGACTCTCCTCCTCCTCTTCTCCCCGCTCTTACACCAGGGCCTCAAACTTCAACCAAAGCCCTTGCCCTTTTCAATTAACCCCCTTCCATCAAAACGAGCGTTTCTTTTCTGTCCTCTGTGGCGGCCCATTGTCTGATCTGATGGGCTTGCAGATTTGACAGCTGGGCTCCTGCAGACTTGATTCAAACTCGGTTTCCCTGAGAGATGAACTTGGACATCAACAAAGATCCCGAATACGAGCTGGAGCGGCCAGTTGGCCACCCGCCACTGCGGGCTGTCTCTAGACACAGTCTCTGGACCCAGAGTAGACTTGGGAGCCCCGGGCGCCCCCCAGCGTGCGGGAAGGGGAGCGAGAGTGTGGGAGGGAGCGCGGGGGTGGGGGTTACTGAGCAGCTCCTGTGGTATCTAGCGGTCCCAGGGTTGGGGCGAAGGACTGTACATATTGGGCTTTTTTTTTTTTTTTAATTTACTCCTGAAACAGCCAAGATGGAGGTCAGTTTATAAATTTCCCAAAGGCAGGTCTGACCGCAGTGGGCTGGGGGCTCCCCTTTTGTCTCATCCAAGCTGGAGGAGAGAGGTAGAGTCAGCAAGTGCACGTGTGAGTGTGCTCGAGTGTGAGTGAGTGCGCGCTGGCGTGGAAGAACGGGTGGGCGCATCTCGCGATTGCCGCCCCGGGGGCCTGAGTCTGAGTGTGTCTTTAACGCGCCAAGTCTTGAGTCATTGACGCGAGTGACGTGGGGGGAAAACTTTGTGTCCGGAAGAAGGGTCTGGCTTCATCACACTAAGAAGAAAAAAAGAGCCCTTGTGCATTGTGCCCGTTTGAGGGGTGTGCGAGAGTGTGTGTGTGTGTGTGTGTGTGAGAGAGAGAGAGAGAGAGAGAGAGTGAGAGAGGGCGGAGAAAGAGAGAGAGAGTGAGTCTGGCAGCGCCCTGGGCCGGCTGCAGAGCTCTGCGTGTCCTGTGCGCGCTTGCGGGTCCAGCCCCGGGTCCCACCGCGAGCAAGCGAGCTTGTGCGCCTGCGGCGGCGTGCGGGCGAGCTTCGCAACGAGCTACCGGTGCGCTACCGGGCAGCTGGAGGAGCAGGCCGAGGGTCTTCTGGCCGGCAAAAATCTGGCTTCCGCACTCGCCATCCTCCGCGCTGCTTCCAATAACCACTAACATCCCTAACCGGCATATGAATCGGGGCTCTGCTCGGAAATCGTCCCGGCCAAAATCAACGCTCGGACTACTCTCGAAGATTACGGCATCTCTTTTCCCCCCTAGGGCAGAGAAAGAGAGCCCGGAAGGGGAAGGAGGGGGCGGGGACACCACCCCCCAAGAATAAATAAATAAATAAACTGGCTTCTCGCCGCAGCTGGACGCGGTCGGTTGAGTCCAGGTTGGTGGCATTTGGAGAGTTTTCTTATTCTATTTGAGAACCCATTGCCGCTCCCTGCCCCTCCTCCCCGGCCATCTCTTTCCATCTTGCGCGCGTCGCCCAACTTTGGGGTACCGGGGGGGGCGCTCGTGTAGCCGGGCTGCACCTGTTCGGGGACAGCGGCCCGGCACGCTTGTCCTAGGCTGGGGTGCGGATGCTCTGGAGTCCCGGGCCCAGGCGAGTGTGTGAGAGGCGGGGACGCCCAGGAGGAAGCGGAGGACGCTCCGCGGGTGGGGGCGCACAAGCGGGGTTTCGGCCCCAGCCCGGCCGCTGGTCCCCTCACCCGGCTGCCTCATTAAGGCGAGCCTCGGGGACAGAAAGGACGGCGACACGGGAGTAGCGGGTGGTGGTTTGGGAGTAGAGGTCCGGCAGCTGAGCGAGCTAACCAGCGGGCGCGAGGAGGGGGCGGCCAACTTCCCGGGAGAAGGGGCTCTTTCCGCGCCAGGGCTGGCCAGGGAGCTACCGCCGCAGCCGAGGGCTGCGACTCCAGGCAGCCGCCGGTCAGCTCCTGGCTCTGGGAAAGTAACGTTTATTTATTTGTTTGCGTTCAGCCTCTTGGGTTCACCCGATAGGCACCCTCTTGGACTTTGGGACCCTGCGTCGGATCTTTCCAGCTCTCCCCGCCCCAAGTCGGTGGCCGCCGGGAATATACGCACATGCGCCCCCAGCGCCCCGACCCGGGTGGGGGTGGGGGTGGGGGTGGGTCCTCACCAGGGCGTTGAGAAGTCCCCCAAGGCGGGAGCGGGGGAGAGGAGAGGGGTGGGGAGAGGAGGCTTCGGCGTTCTCTGCTCTCATTTCAAAGCTCTCCCTATTCTAGGTTGAGTCGGACCTGAACCCCTAAAAGCGGAACTGCCTCCCGCCATCGCGCCCCGCCACCCTACTGGAGCCGAGTCGCCGGCGGCGGCGGTGGCTGACTGACTGGGAGTTTCCTCTTACACTGGATGGAGCTGAACTTTGGGCGGCCAGAGGAGCGCGGCGGTCCGGGGATCGCTGCATGCTGAGCTCCCTTGGAAAGACCCAGCGGCGGCTCGGGATTTTTTTGGGTGGGAAGGGGACCAGCTGCGCGCCGGCACCATGTTCCTGGCGACCCTGTACTTCGTGCTGCCGCTCCTGGGTAAGTCGAGGCCCCCCACTGGCTTTCTTATCCTCAGAGAAGGACCGGAGGGTAGTTAGCAGAAGATCCACCCCGCCGTGACCCCCAACTGAGGCGCGGGTGCGGGGGATGTGGGAGGAAGTTTTCTTCTGGGGAAGGGGATCATGAATGCTCGGCTAGGGAGGCGATGGTGGCGAGGCAATGACTGCAGGTATTCGTGCGTGGTTTTTGTTTCTGGTGGTTTTAATGATCCAGCCCAACGGGGAACCAAGGGGCCCTCCAGCCTCCGGCCCTGCGCCCTTTGCGAGTCCTAGGATCTCGCGGAGGGCAGGTGGAGCATGGGCGAGCGTTGGGTCGGGAGAGCAAACTTCGAAGGGAAAACTTTTCCCCGAGCCCCAAGTAGCGTCTCGGCGCTCCCGGCCTGACGGACCGCTGGCCACTGTTAGTCCGCCCCAGCCCAGAACGCGGCCAGCGCCCTGTCGGCCACCGATCCTCCTCGGACAGTCTCCGGGGGTCAGCCGAGCCGGGCTCAGGGAGCGGCTGGAGCCTTGCTCCGGCCGTGCCGCCCCGGGGTAGAGGGCTGGAGAGCGCATTGGACAGCGCAAGCTTCGGAGCACAGCGCTCAAAGCCCGCGGGCTGAGTTTGCGCCACCCTCTCCTGAGGGCCAGGAGGAGGGGATGGGGCAGGAGTTCCGTGGGACTGGAAAACGGTTACCCGGGTGTAGTGGGGTGGGCCCGCAGCCTGAGCAGGGTGCCCTGGAACATGTGGTCGAGCGTCCTTGTCCATCCTGGGCGCGTACCCTCTCCCGGGACAGGGGCGTCGGGATCTCTGTCCCGTGGCACTTAGGCTCCCTCCCCTTCACCCCGCAGACTTGCTCCTGTCGGCCGAGGTGAGCGGCGGGGATCGCCTGGACTGCGTGAAAGCCAGCGACCAGTGCCTGAAGGAGCAGAGCTGCAGCACCAAGTACCGCACGCTGAGACAGTGCGTGGCGGGCAAGGAGACCAACTTCAGCCTGGCGTCTGGCCTGGAGGCCAAGGACGAGTGCCGCAGCGCCATGGAGGCCCTGAAGCAGAAGTCGCTGTACAACTGCCGCTGCAAGCGGGGCATGAAGAAGGAGAAGAACTGCTTGCGCATTTACTGGAGCATGTACCAGAGCCTGCAGGGTACGCGTGTCTGACCCCCGTCCCCGTCCACCACTGTCCCTCCCAAAGGCAGGCGGGCCCCTGCATCCCCAGGCCGGCTGATCTCATCCTCTGCTGCTTCTCCCCAGCTGTGGAATGAGGACCTTTCATTGGCCCCCTGGGATAGTGGCAGCTGGTGTTTGCTGGGCCAGAGCAGCATTGTTGGGCCTGATTGTTTTGGAGGAGGCGCCCCGGGGACCGCACTGACCTCTTTGAAACCTGGTGGAGCATCGGAGAAGGAACCCACTAAAGGCCACCCAAGGAACCCAAAACTTCTAAGCCTTACAATCTAAGGAGAGCCAGCCAGAGGCTTTAGCTGGCTTCACTGCATAATAGGAAAGCTTGCCCTGCATCTTGCCTGGAGTTTCCCCTTTTTCTTTTTCCCTTTAACCCACTCTGACATAAGATAAAGAATTATAAAAGGTCCAGCAGAAACCACTCTATCTTTACCCCCTCAAACCTGATAAAAGGCAGATGTGTGAAAAACCATTTGTCATCTTAGATTAGGGGAGTCTTGAACCAGCTGGTGTGGTTCAACCTTGGTTAACACAGAAGTAGCTTAGGGAGAGAAAGATTCACTTGTCACAACCATCCATTCCAATGGGAATATTTTTGTGCCAGGGGTGGGTCATGTTTGTAAATCTAGCACAGACATTCTGTGCATTCATTCTCCACTGAGACCCAGGCTGAGGATTTGTCATGTACAGATTTGACCTGTCAGCTACCACTTCTTCCAGAATCTATTAATGAAAACCTATTTCAGAGATGGACTGTTTAATAGTCAGGGTACCTGCTTTCTGACTGCATCCCATGTTTTGGAAGCAAATACAATGTAGGTCTTGTCTGGGTCACCTTTCTTCCATTGGCTCCTTGAGGCAAGCTGAGCTTGTGACGTCACCAGCTCTTTCCTCTCTAATTTCATTCCTTTGCAAAGAGTAGGAGAGTTTTCTGGCAAGATCGGGCTGGGTTGTTCTTCAGTGTTTTCGTGGCACTCTGGGGAGAACAAGGACAACAGAGACAGAGGGAATGAAGAGTAATAACTACAGCCAAATAGATGCATTTGCAATCTTTGAAAGTTTCAGCATCTTTTTGTTACACAATCATAACATAATTAGAATTCAGACTCAGCAGTGAAAAACTGCTTGAAGTGTGTCTGTTTTTCAGATCTGAGTCTAATCTTTCTATTGTTTTTAGGAAATGATCTGCTGGAGGATTCCCCATATGAACCAGTTAACAGCAGATTGTCAGATATATTCCGGGTGGTCCCATTCATATCAGGTAAGCAGATTTATACTTCCACTCTGATGCCTTTGTCTGCTTGAATTTCTTGGCTTGCATTCTCTTTGGCTCTCAAGTAGTGCATAAGTAGGTAGTTGAATGGCACAATGTTTCTGGGAAATTAGAAATAGGATGATGATAATGAAGAGGCAGAATGCCTAGAGAAGATTGTATGACTTGAAAGTAATTCTAAATGAAGTAGTGTGTTATGGTGATTTGGAAGAGGTTGGAGGGAGGTGACTTGGTTGGATTTTTTTTCACATTGAAATATGATTGGCCAACTCTTACAAAGGGAGTGCCGCTTCTGTCTGTAGGTGGCAATCGTATTCTCTTCTTGCTGTATACCTTGCACAGTGCCTCCCTGGAAATGGGATCTATTCACATGATGCCACTTACTTTACAAGACACCTGAAGATAATCTTAGATTATTGAAAATTTTTGGATGAATTCACTCATCTGCCTTTGATTTAAAAGATTAAGCTCTACCATTTGTTAACAATTCCTCTGTTTCTATTTTTTCTTAAGCAAGTGTGTGTGTTTATAAGAGAATGTACTCCTGCCTGACGGCCTTTTAAAATGTAGTCTTACTCCCCCATGGTTTGTTGTGTCTTTCTTTGCATTTCTATGTGTGGTTTGGAAATGAACTTAGTTTTAGACTTAAGTTTTTCATAACATCTGTATTCAAACAGTGCATAAATAATAAGGCAATAATTTTTCTAAATGACATACAGATTCCAGACTGATGTTATCTTTATTTACAGTTAAGATGTTTTCTTAAGTATATATAGCAATCACAAATTATATGTTTCTTGGTGGTTAATGTTGAATTTAATTTTATGAGGTGATTGATGGTTTGTTACTGGTGAGCGTGTTCTGGTGTTATAAATGTTTTATATGTTCTTGGAGAAAAGCCATAGAACCAAGGGAGTATGTAAATACCAATATTACGTGTGTGTGTGTGTGTGCGTGTGTGTGTATTATTTTTTGAGACAGTGTTTCACTCTGTTGCCCAGGAATGACATCCTTACACCTTGATGCAGCCTTCAACTCCTGTACTCACGTGATCCTCATCTTTCCTAGTAGCTGGGACTGTAGGCACATTCCTCTGTGATTAGCTAATTATTTTTTTGTTAATTTTCTGTAGAGACAGCGTCTTCATATTGCCCAGAATGGTTTCAAACTCCTAGCTTCAAGGGATGCTCCTGCCTTGGCTTCCCAAAGTGCTAGGATCATAGGCACGAGCCACTGTGCTAGGCCTGTGGGGGTGTGTTATATGTACATCTGTTCATTCACTAAACATCCACTGAACACCTACTATGTTCTAGGTATTGTGATTTTGGCATTGAGCCAATTATCATCTCCACCCTCATCTCCACCCTTATGCATCTTAAAGGCAGCCAGCAACTGACATTTATTAATCCCTTATTATATGCCAGGAACTGTGTTAAGAGCATTATATCATTAACTTATGTAATCACCGTTAAGTGCCTCTTAGGTATTATTATTTCCAATTTAGAAATGAGGAGATTGAGACATGGTAAAATTAGGAAACCAGCCCAAGATCCCAAAATGCCTACATGGTAGAACGAGACTTTAAACCCGTAGTTGTTTGTTTCTAAGCTTTTGTAAATCTACCTCTTGTTTCTTGGAGTGTGATTCTTAGACCATTAGCATCGACATAGCCTGAGACTTTGGAAGAAGGGCAGAATCTCATTTTACTACTGAATCAGAATATGCATTTAATGAGCTCCCTAGGCTGGGTGCTTCATATGTATGTGAAGCTTGAGAAGCCCTCTTCTACATTATTCTTTTTCTTCAGAGGAAAAGTAAGTGTGTGTGTTTGTGTGTGTATGTGTGTCTGTTGTCTGTTTGGGAATAAGATAATAAGGGTACAGGTTGAGTATTAGAAGAATTCATATAACATCCTGAATAATGCCAATAATTTCCAGTCCAAATTCCTCCTGATACTGTTTGTCCCCTGGGATCAGGTAGGATAATAGCTCAAGCAGTGGAAGAGAGATGTACTAGGATGGCGTGTGGCCAGTGGGGTAGCAAAGGCAACCTGACCTCCTCCTGCGTCTGAGGGGTAGTGCCTCTTGCCTGCTGCCTGCTTAGTCTTTGTACTGATTCCTGGAAGGGGATCCATGGACATCTGCAGGGACACCTTTACTCCCCATGGACATTGAGAAGTGAGGAAGTAAGCAAGGAAGAAGGGCCATTTGGGTTTTAATTTCTGAATTGCGATGAGCACTAGGGTTTTTAACAGACTCCTTTCCCCTTTCTCAGTCACTGTCTGGTAATCAGAGTAAATACTCTCCAGCTGTGGCAGCCATGGACCAAGAGTCCCCCACTGCGCCTTTGCATCACCTTTCCATCCTTGCCATTATTTTCATATTTAAAATGCTGTGGTCTTTCTCAGATACCACCTGCTTGTCTGAATTTCTTTTATGAGTGTTGGAAATTCTTCTGCATGGACCAGGTTTCACTCATTCACTGGATCCCTCTCAGCTAGGTTACTTTTCATAGCAAATATGAATCTGAGTTTGTTGTAAGACCCATCCTGCCGAGAACCCAGAAGTCATAATGAATTAACCAGAGCTGAGAAAGCGTTGTCTAGAGTTCCATTTTATATCTCAAGGGCATTGACTTTGGGTTCCAGCACTAATGAGCTTTGACCTCTGACAGTGACTGTGTTCCTTAAGTGGGATAGTAAAGCCAAATGGAGTCTTGAGAGGTTTTAAGTTGTTGAATAATGCATATTATCCAGTTTGGCCTTTGTAGGATGGAGAAGCAGGATGATAAATGTTGCTTATTTCACGTTTGAATCTCAGTTTCTAGAACATCTTTTCTGCCTTGAAACTCTCTCTAAGGAAACTGGGACAACAAGGTCTCTGCTTTTTACAGATATGGTAGCAATCAGAGTTTCCCTATTTGGATTTCTCTGCTCAACGTGCAGCGTACGTCCATCCACATATGTTTAGTGCTGGGGTGAATCTTCACACTGAACAAGACACGTGCGACCTTTCTTGCCTTCCCATTTTCTTTAGATTCCTGAGACCCACTGCCCCCTTTGCCACTGTTTTCCTTGCTAACCAGATGAAAGGCCATGTTGAAGTATTATCAGTGGCCTGGTGCCAACAAGGAAGGGAACAAAAATAAGGTAGAGTCTAAAAACTGTCATCTGTGTTCTGATGCCTGAACTGCGGAAGGGAAACCAAGAAGCCAGCTCACATGAGCATGGTGGTGGGAGGCTGAAGGGTTTCCTCCCTTGGAAACGTGATAGGAAAAGATGCCTTTGGCTCCTAAGGCATCTTATAGGCTTGAAGGGGTGTTTTACCTGTGGGTTGATGGCAGTGTGGTTTTTTAGGGGTCTGGAACATGAAGAGTCCGGCAGTGAGCAGGCGTATACAAAGGCAGAAGCCAGCCAGGCATGATGTTGAGTAGAGGAGGGAACATGGGAGAGGGTGGTAGGAGCCAAGAGGGTGGAGCTGTGCCATCTCCAGCAGCTCTGAGGGCAGGTGCAGCAGTGTGGTGTTGAATGCCTGCCTCTCCCAGCCACAGCTCCTGCTCTTTCACCTCTGTTCTGCCTCCTCCTTTTCTACCTCAGAAAAGTTCAGGAAACAGTGAGAAGTAAATAGTGATTTGAAATGATGATGAGCCTGTTGGCTTTTTTGTTTGTTTTTTAATCTCTGAAGGGGGAAGAGCAAAGCAGGGAGAAATTTTGAAAGTACAGTAGGTGCCAAGAAAAGCCTGATGGAGGATCAGAGGGAGGATATAAGCCCCTCTTTGGCAGCAAGAGAAAAACCAGGCTCCAAGATTTAAAATTATTGATTAGGAGATTGGATTTTGTAGAGAAGAGTCAAGCGATGCCGGGCCTTCCTTGAACAGAATCAAAGTTGATGGGATTGCATACAAGGCAAAGCCTCAGCCTTCTGGATTGGTCCTCATTTCCCTTCTGAGTTCTAGAAGTAGCTTGGACCTTCCCAGGAGGACTTAGGATCTTGACATTAGTTCCCAACTAATTGGAAATGTTTTGTTGCAGGATGAGATGCATCTAGACGCTTTTGAGTCCTGGCCCCTTTTTGTGAATGGTGCGATGAATAATTAGCTACATTTAGCATACCTGCCTTAATCTACTATTATATTCATGACATTATTTTAAAAATATATATTATTATGAATGTTGCATGAACCCAGCATGGTTCCCATCTCGTCAGGAGGCTGAAGGTGGAGGATTGCTTGAGCCGAGTTTGAGGCTGTAGTGTGCTATGATGGCACCTACTGCACTCCAGCCTGGACAACATAGTGAGACCCTTTTTCTAAAAAAATTATTTTTTACATGTTAGAGATGCACCTTATGACATCATTTGCTTTCTTGTGGAGTCATGATGAGAGAGAAAGGCTTGTGCATAGCAGCCTTTGCTGCCGGTGGGGGTGTGATGGTCCTCTCCTTTCTACTCAGTTCTTTAATGGGGCTGTTTCTGTATTTGAGCACCCGCATTAGTTCCCTGCTACTTACTCTGACGTGTGGTAAACTCTGTAGCAGGCCAGTAGGGGCGCTACACGGCCAGGCCCTGCCCTCCTTCATGAAGCCATACACTACCTCCCACCAGCGAGCCAGACCATTCCCCGACTATTTCACGTGCATTCACTTTCCTGTGCGTTTGCACGTGGCCTTGCCTTTGCTTGGAAATCTTCTGGTAGTTTTTCAAGACCAAGATCAAATTTCATCTCTGAGAACCTTGCTAGAATTCCCCAGACAAGCACTTCCACTCAGGACTCCCTCACGACGCGCTGTGCTCTTGCCTTTCTGTTAGCTGTCAATCATCGTGAATCCAGAGGGCTGACTTACGTGTCTGTCTTTCCCACTGGAGAGTCGTGGACTTGCTTTGTTATGCCATGTGTCTGTGCAGCATCAGCCATCCTTTCTGGTCCTGAGCAGGTGTCCCATCCACGGCAAGTGGCTGAATGTCAGGGAAGAAGGGTCCTTGCTCTGTTGT